TTTAGGAATACTTCCCCAGTTCATATAAAGGAGGAATAAAACTTAAAGTACTCATTTAAAAATATATTTAGTATTTTTATTTCATCTTTTCAAGGATCATATATTTTCACCTCATTCTTGATCCTAACTCTTTGAGAATCATGGATGTGGGAAGATTTTTGTAGGTTATTTTTAGATGTCTTAACTCTGCTGTTAAGAATTCTTATAACAAATAGGTGGAGACCTACTAAATGAGATATTCTAATCTTAAGATCCCAGAGTGATTGGTCTGATCCTACTCAAGGATTTAAGATTTTCCTGGACAGTGCTGCTACTCTTTTGAATCATATATTAGTTTTTTTAATTTGTAAGTAGTAAACTTGTAGTCTCTGTTTATTTTTGGTTAGCTTCTTAGTGGTTGCAACTGTTGCTAACAATGGGTAAGATTATAACAGGTGTATGCAGTTTTTCTAATTCAGGTATACTACTTAAACTGCACCAAAGTTAAATAATACAATGGAAAAATATATGTGGACATATAAAACTCAGAACATTGTGTTTTGGCAGGATTTTGGACCAACAGTCAGAATGTCCGTGGTTTAGGGAAGAGAACTGACATTGGTGATACTTTTATTGACAAGCTATGTGTTATTCACTTTACATATATTTTCCCATTCAATCCCAGTTTGGCCATTTGCTAGCTGTTTTATTTTGGGCTTGTTACTTAATAGTCTTGCACCTCAGTTTCTCCATTTGTCAAAGTGAAAAAAAAGTCAAATCAAAAACCCAAATTATTCATAGAGTTATTCTGAGGATTAAAAATTACATGTACCTTATTAAGACTAATGCCTGGCACAGTGTAAACTGTGAGTGTAAACTGCACAGTGTAAACTGTGAGTATGTGAGTGTTCACTATATTAACATCCCTCACTGATGAGGATTCTGAGTTTATGGGCAGCTGGAGAACCAAGTCATGGCTGGAGAACTTATAAGAGGATGGATTTGAAGCACTTACGTGTTTTCTATACCAAGTAGTTTCTTATTTTAGTCTTGGCTTTATTTTTAACATTGCAACCTCAGATAAGTCACCTCTGGGCCTGGGTTTCATCATTTATAAAATGAAAGTGTTGGGGTTAACATATATGGCCCTATTCAATTATAATATTCCATAAATTTTAGGCCCATGGTGGATGGTCATTAAATGTGCATGGTAGAATCATCAGTGGAAGGTTCTCCCTGGTGGAGAAAGTTCACCAACAGCAGCTGCATTTGAGATGTCTTAGTAGAAAAACTGCTTGCTCTTTTTTGTTGCACTAGAATATAGGCAATAACCTAAATTCACTTGACAACACTACATAAATGAATAGTGGACAAACTCAGGCTTCAGGAAGATAGAAACGAATGAAAAGGGGAATACTTTTAAGAATTTTGTAGCCATGTGAGTATAAAAGCCCTATGACTGTCCTGAAGTTTTCTTAGACACAGGAGAAAAGAGTTAGGTGACACCAAAGTTACTTGATACCCGCAATCTGTAAGGCAGTAAACACAGTTTCATTCCAAATGCTGAGTCATATTTAGGGTTACAAGGAGAAATACTTAAGTCTGTAACTTCCTTGAGCTCTTGGACTTCAATAGATTGCCTTCTGCAGAAATAACTACTTGTGTTTTTATATTTGGTCAGTGCTTCCCTTCCCATACCCCCACTTGCGTTTTCCCCTTTTTAGCTCTAAACAGGTTTGTTTGATTTTGTTTGAATTCTATTTTTAAAAATATTATTTATGAAGCTGTGTAATGTTTCATTTTCAAGAGCAATTACTAAATTTAAGATTATTTCCCTTCCTGCATGAAATTATCTTAATAAAGAAAAGAAAATGCTTAGGCATATGGGAAATTGTGCTTCTGTTAGATACTCTTATCAGCAACCAAACTCTTTCAGTGAAATTCTTGTTATAATAAGAGCACGATGCAAAGGCAGAGACAGGGAGGCTGAATGCTACTTTAGGTACTTAAGAAAAAGTTGTGAAGTGTTATGAATGAGGCTAAAAAGAAAAATGTGCTTGTGTATATTTTTTCCCTTTAGAAAATATTGATGGAATAAGTAGGAAATAATTTTTGACTTTATAAGTTTATGTGAAACCTTAAAGAAGTATCATCAACCTTTGCATTTTGAAATTATTGTGTTTATTTTTTAAAATTAACAACTTTTAAAATGTGCTCTAAATAGGCTGGGCGTGGTGGCTCACTCCTGTAATCCTAGCACTTCGGGCAACTGAAGCAAGAGGATTGTTTGAGGCCAGGAGTTCAAGACCAAGGCAACAAAAAGTAAAAGAAGAAAAAATTAGCTGGGTGTGGTGGCATGAACCTGTGGTCCTAGCTACTTTGGAGTCTGAGGTGGAAGGATTGCTTGAGTCTAGGAGGTCAAGGCTACAGAGAGCAATTATCATTCCATTGTACTCCAGCCTGGTCAATGGCAAGACCCTGTCTCTAAAAAAATAATAATAAAATAAAATATACTCTAAATAATTTATGCTCTGGCTAGTTATAAGCCCTCAGTGTCTCATCCAGTAAATGAAAGTTTCAACTATACAACAGTTTCCTATTTACTTTATTTTATTCAAGACAATAGTTGAGATTAGATGTGTGTGGAGAGTAGTGAGGAAGAAAGTGTAGAACAGAGGTGGGTGGTTTTGGAAAAGAAACTTCAGAGTAAACTGTAGGCTGATCAGGTTAGCTTCCTGGTCTGTGTCCCACTACACCACACCCATACACACCTGTGCCCTTCCTGAAGTCTTTCTGCCTTCCTTTGGGCCCCAACTTTGGCAGGATAAATCATGTCCAATGCTCTTGACTTTTTCCTGTCTTTTACTATTCTACTTCCTATTTCCTATCTCCTCCCATACACAAATCAGATCCAGGGTCTGATGGATGGTCATGGGTTATTGATGAGAACTGAATCTCCGTTGGCTTGCTAACTAGTTATGTAACTAGGACTTGTGGAGAAGTAAACAGCAGGCAGAGTAGGGCCTGGAACAAGTCGTTCACCTAAGCATTCATTTTGCATCAATAGACACTTAACCATCTGTTCTATTACAACCCACAGTACAAAAGTAACAAATGGTCCCCATTTTCCAAGCACTGAACTGTTCTGGAAAAATTAGTGGAAAGGAAATCCAGGTCTGGCACCTGATTTAGCCAGATTATTCTTTTTCTGGGTAACATGTTGCATTTCTTAATAAATGTTTGTGAAAAAAAAAAAAGTGGAACACATTTGCTTGATTTGTTCACTGTTAGGCCAGATGGGTTGAGGGGAGTGATGAGGGAGAGGGGTCTGTGACCCGGTGCCTTGTGAAAGATGCAAATAATTGCACAAAAGTTAGATTGGAAAATGTAGCTTATTTAGGAAGTAGATTATAGAGAGAGGAGATTCACCTCCCAAGGGAGAGGAGGGGGCTAAAACTTAGGGAAACATGACCCAGTCATAGTTCAAAGAGCCACATGGCCAGGCCACAGTTTAACAAAAGCAATGGTGCTGGCTGCTTGAGGTTGAACACTTCTAAACCTTCTCTTTGATGGGGGCTGGTCATTAAGGTGATTGGGTGGTGGTCTGTTTCATGTCATCATGAAGGGGATAGGTAAGCACAGGTACTGACATTATGATAATGAACAGCAGGCAGATGGGTGGGTCAGACACATGAGTGTTGCCATGGTGATGGGATCTATTGGTCACCTCCCTGATGACAGGATGGATGGGCAGGCCAGTCACATGGATGAGAGGGGCTGGTGAAAGACAAATTCCTTAAGAGATGCTAATCTCAGTGTCTGAAGATTATCGTCTGGCTTCAGGAGGCCAGAAAAATTCCATCTTGGGCTCTGTCCTTGAATTCACCTACATAAGAAAAAAAGAAACTGAGGCAGACTATACGTAGAGTTTATTTGGGTCAAGTTTGAGGACTGCAACCTGGGAGCATAGATTCAGGTGGACTGGAATATACTGTACACTCAGATTAGCAGCAGTTACAAGTGAGTTTTTAAACGGAAAAAAAAGGCAGTTTTTGAATGGTTTATAAAGAATTTATATTACAATAACATAAGCTATTGATTGCCTATACATTGTTGAAATATTCCAGGAACATGAAGATAGTGGATGAGGCAAGTAGTCAGGAACAAAATACCTTTTAACTGCCTCTGGGCATGGGTGTGCAGGGTGTGACTGAAGTCCCATACTCCTGTCTCTCTGGGCCTGATCAACTTTCCATACCTCATGTAGCCCAGATTGCTGTCAGCTATTTTTCATTTCTCAGTTACAAGGGTTTGCATTTCTGGCTGCTCATTAGAATCACCTGGGGAGTTTTTAAACAGTGGTTCTCAAACTTCTGTGTGCAGCAGAATCACCAACCCCAGGGTTTATGAAACAGGTGGACTGGAATGCAGTGGAGAATGTTCATTTCTATCAAGTTCTCAGGTGATGCTGAAGCTGTGGGCACTCCTGGCTACACGTTGAGAGCCACAGTTTTAAAGTACAAGGATTCTAGGCCTCATCTCCAGACTGATTCAGTAGGCTTGGGGATGGAAATCTGGCATTGTTCGTTCCACTCACTCCTCAATTTTAGTGTATCCAAGGGTGAGAACCTCACTGTTCCAGTGTAGACTGCTCGGTTTCCTTAAGTTACTATGTTGGGACCTAATGAACATTCCTCTGTGCCAAGTGTAGAGATTCTGCGGTATTTAAGGACATAAAATAAGCCACATAATAATGGACTTTAAAAGACACCACCGCGATTTTCCTTCAAAGGAATGTGGCTGCCATCCTTTGGAAGGCCTTTCTGATTATCCCCTGGGAATTTTCCAATACTACAGTAGAATCCTTATCAGTACAGCACTCAGAGATCTTTGGGAAAAAGTTCTTAAAAGAAGTGGGGTCCATTTGAACCCAAACTGCCCCTTCCTTGGGTCCCCTTGGGCTCGCCTAGCTCTTGTAGTCCCAAGTGAGCTGGGCATGCTCAGTGGGCAGGGTCGGTTTTGGGGGTGGGGGGGTACAAGTGGGAAGCCTGCTGCTCGGCTGCCAGGGATCTCTGCCTCCCCCACCTGCACGAGGCTGGGCCTGAGGAACCAGTGCTCAGCATCCCACCCCCTGGTGCTTGGACTTGGTTTTCCCCGCAAGTCCCCGCGCTGACATTTAGGCGGGGGGTCAGGAGGCCTGGCTCGCTTCCAGAGCGCGCTGGGGCGAGGGCATCGGGCTCTGACGACGGGGTCCCAGGGGTCCGCCCGCCTCCTAGACGCGTTTCTAGGCCCTGGGAAGTCTGCCTGCCCGGAGGCGCGGAGCTGGGGAGGCCAGATCCGGGGGCGGGCGGCAAGAAGTCCTCAGGTAAGCCAGCCCCGCAGGCGTGCAAGCGGCCGGGTGTCTCCCCTCGCCCAGACACACAGCCAGGGCGGCCCGCATGGGGGAGGGCACAGGAAATCCTCCAACCGCCACCGTCTTCCCCCGGCCTAGCCAAGGATTTCCCGTCCGCAGCCGCTTGGCGAGGCGGGGCGGCGGCTCTGGAGACCGGCACCGCCAGGGCGCAAAGCAGGAACTGCAGCTTGGGGTGAAGGCCACTGCGTCGGGCGCTGCGCAGCCCCACCCGGCAGGACCCGTGTCCCCGTGTGGTCACGTTCATTGGGCCGCAGAAACCTGGCTCGCTCGCCGCCCACTGGTTCGCAGTGCCCTCCACCCCCAACCCCCGGCCGGGGTTCCCGCTTCCACTTCCGCGTCTCCCCGCTGGGCCGGAGGAGCCTGGGCCGAGGTGTCCCGGCTGGATGCGGCGGCCTCGCCGCCGAGGTCGGCCCTCCGGGAGGGAGGAGGCTCGGGAGGGGGAGGAGGAAGTGGCCGGGAGGCGGGGGCGCGGCGGCGCCGGGCGCGTCGGGTTACACTCGCCCAGCCTGCCCGGAGTGACAACCCCGCGCGCCTCGCTGCGAGCACCCGGGCCGAGTCTCTGATTCCGGGGGAGGCAGACTCCGCCCCGGCTGGAGGAACTCGCTGCTCCTGCCCGCTGTCCCCTCGCGCGTGAGGATCAGCCTCAGGTGTGTGCTTCCCGGGAGACCCCTTCCCCGCTCCCTGGGGCCTAGCGGGGAGCCGTCTCTTTCTGACCCGGGCGAGTCTGCTGAGACTTCGGTGTTGGCGGTAAACGGTGGCGCGAAACTGGGGAAAGATGTAGAATTTCTCCCCAGCAACCGAAGATGGACTCGTTCTTATCTAGGGTTTCGCTGTTTACATTTTGGAGGTGGCTGGCGGCGTGTAATGCATTTGCAGTATACTTCACTTAGTAAAGTGGCAGGAGTTTTGGGCGAGGGTTGGTTTCTCATTCAAAGTTTATGCAAACTTTTAGCTTGTAGACTTGGCTAGTCTGCTAAGAATTGTTGCTCCCTTCCAAAGCAAGAGTGGGAACGATTCTGGAAGGGGCTGAGGCTTCCTTGAGAAATTCAGCTCTTAGAGTGTGACTGTCCTAGGAGGAAATGGAAGGTGTACACTGATGAACTTAAAGCAGCCTTCACTCCCCACGTAGTAATTTCTACCAGCAAAAATAGATTTGCAAAGAGTGCTTTGGCAGGAAGGTGTAGCTGGGTGAATGAAGTGCTGCTCTTAGCAGATGGTCTCTAGTCTGGCTTCCACCTAGTGCAGAGGAATATTCACTCCCAGAAGAGTTCCAAAGTAATTTACAAACACAAATTCTCACAAAGTGTTAGTGACATGGGCAACTCAAATCACACAACACATTATAAATATCATAGGAGGCAGCTATAGAAATAGCTAGCAGCTAATTTAGTTAACTTATACTTGTATAAATAGGTGAGGAAAGGAAGTTAGTAAGTGATAGGGAGTCTTTATTGCTAAAACAAAACTGTTTGTATTTTGCATATGTTCCAAGCTTAAAAGATTTGAAGTTTCTTTGTGGAGTGTGGAGGGTACTGGCAACTCTCACACTGAGGGCCAGGCACTTCTTTGTAGCTACTGACCACTCTGGTCTCTGAATCCTATAGTTCTTTGCCGGCCATCACATGAGAGCTGTATGCCATTGCCCAATGGATACCATGTGCAGGCTGGGAGACCTTGTGCTGTGGATGTTGAAACCCCCCTTCAGTTTCTCATCGGGGCGTTATGTCAAGTTACGACACTCTCTTGATTTTTATAAATCAACTCTTCAAATAATGCTGCGATATTTTAGTGAATAATGGATAAAATATGGGATTTGGGAACCAACTTTGTAGCAATGGTCCATTCTGATAGCTAACAGTCACTTTATTAAGAAATTCTAAGCAGCATTAGAGCTCTGCTTCCTTTTCTTCTCCTTATTCAGAGATGCAATGACTTGATTTAGGAATTGACAAGAGGGCCACAGTGTTACCAGTTGTGAGTGGGTTTTTCTCCCCTTCCCCCATCCCCCTTAATTTTTTGTAACTACTTAATCTTGTTATGGATGTTTTAAAATATTGGATTATTATTGTGCATAACCCATGTTGGCAAACTTTTATTACTCTGAAATTAACCTGTTTGGTTATTTGTTTTCTTTTATCACTAAAATATACATTTTATAAGAACTGGACTTAGTCTGCTTTGTACACTTTCTTTTTTTTTTTTTTTTTTTGAGTTAGAGTCTCACTCTGTCGCCCAGACTGGAGTGCAGTGGCCGCTCCTGGTCACTGCAGCCTCAACCTGCTGGGCTCCAGCGATCCTTCTGCCTCAGCCTTCCAAGTAGCTGGAACTACAGGCACCCGCTACCACGCCCAGCTAATTTTTTGATTTATTGTAGAGATGAGGTCTCGCCAAGTTGCCCAGGTGGGTCTTGAACCCACAGGCTCTGGCAATCCACTCACCTCAGCCTCCCAAAGCGCAGGATTACAGGCTGAGCCACTGAGCCCAGCTCGCTTTGTACGCTTTCAAATCTCTAGTGCCTAGAGTGGTGACAGCTTGTAGTAAGCACTCCATAAATGTTTTCTCAATGAATGACTGAACTGCTGAGTGTTGAGAGGGGAACAGACTTTGGCCTTAGGTAATCTTTTGAAACTCATTAAGCCTCAGTTTTCTTATTGGCAAAATGTGTATGATAAATGCTATAACACATGAAAAATGGCCTGTGATGTACTTGGTGGGTAGTAGACTTCAGATATATAAGAAAGAAGTAGCTTCCTTCTTATATTTTTCCTTCTTACATTCAAGTAGGAAAAACCAGGCAAATAACACAATTAGCTTGATAATTCAGCTTCAGTCTTTTTTTCCTTTAATTTGGTGAATGTGTGTGTTGGAATAGGGGGAGGAGAGGGGAATTAGTGGCAGTTCTGGTTATTAAAGAAGGGAAGCGATTTCCAGGTCATCGTTTAATTTTTCCTTTTTATTTTTGATGATCTCCACTTAGGTTTTCCAAAACCTGATTCGTTTTTAAAAATTTCAATTTATTTTTAGTAGGAACAGAGTCTCACTGTGTTGCCCAGGCTGGTTTTGAACTCCTGGCCTCAAGCGATCCTCCCGCCTTGGCCTCCAGAAGTATTCGGATTACAGACATGAGTCACTGCACTCAGCCCAAAGCTTGGTTCTTTTTATTTTGTCAACACCTGGACTCATGGGACTGTCCTAAGTGCAGAAACAACACTTCAGAGCACTAGAAATCAAATATGTGGACACTTGGCTTTTTAAATGAAGTTTTCTGTAGTTTTGTGCAGCATTATATTGTAATACATGCTAGATAAAGAAAAAATATCATTATCTTCTTTTAAAAAATTATTTATTTATTATAAAGATGTGGGGTACAATTCAGGGTTAGGCATACAAACATTGATCATGCAGGTACCCATGTTGATGAGGTATGCCCCTCCCTCCCCTAGCAGTTTCCCTCAACTGCCAGTCCCACCCTATTGTTGTCGTCTTTTGAGAAGCTTAGAGTTTGTTTACTGGAGACAAACAACTGGAGACATATATAAGATCTTGAATAATTATCTAGCCAGCAGTAGAATGTCAGCTGTAACTGTTTGCGGTTATTGAAGGGAGAGGTTTAATATGGGCTCAAAAGTGTTGGATGAGGAGACTCACTTCGGTAAGAGAGAGACTTAAAGTTTCCTGATGACTATAAGCAAAAAATCATCTTTGTTCCAAGAATGTTTGCTGTTTTGTACTTAATTGTATGAAAGAGCCAACTAACCAGGTATTTTCAAAAATGATCTTTCTGTTGAAAATTATATGAGAAATCTTCAGAAAATTTTATATGTGCATGAAGTAATGGTTTTCACTATGTCTCTGAAGTTTAAAGCCCAGGATTGGTATGAAAAGTTACAACTCTTCATTCCTGTCACTTTTAACACACTTGATTGAAAATGTGTCAGATAGCCTGCCTGTTATTCTATCTAATTGTGATGATGAGATATACTTTTTATATGAAGTATCTTGGGAATATTATTATTCATCAGGTTTGGGATTCCCCCTCCTGCCCCATAACTAGCTAAATTCAGAATTGTTATTTTGGGAGAGAAGGACTGAATGGAAATACACTAAGAAGATATTATTAAAGTAGGTTATAGTTGCTCATCAAAATACTTACATAGTTTCATCATATCTTACCACATTTGCGATAAAAAGAAAACTTGGAAGTGATGTGTTAGAAGAAGAAACTGATAAAGGGTGTGGTTTGACTGGGTACAGTGGCGCAAGCCTATAATCTCAGCACTTTGGGAGGCTGAGGTAAGAGGATTGCTTGAACCCATGGGTTCAAGACCAGCTTGGGCAACTTGGTGAGGCCTCCTCTCTACAATAAAAAGCAAAACAGCCGGGCTCGGTGGCTCAGCCTGTAATCCCGTGCCTTTGGGAGGCTGAGATGAGTGGATTGCCTGAGCCCATGGGTTCGAGACCTGCCTGGGCAGCGAGACCTCATCTCTACAGTAAATAAAAAAATCAGCCGGGTGTGGTAGTGCATGCCTGTAATTCCGGCTACTCGGAAGGATCGCCGGAGCCCAGCAGGTCCGAGGCTGCGGTGGCCGGGAGCGGCCACTGCACTCCAGTCTGGGCGACAGAGTGAGACTCCAACTCAAAACAAACAAACAAACAAACAAAAAAACAAAACTAGGTTTGGTGGTACGAGCCTATAGTTCTAGCTACTTGGAAGGCTGAGGAGAAAGAGTTGCCTGAGCCCAGCAGGTTGAGGCTGCGGTGGCCATGAGCACACCACTGCGCTCTAGCTTGGGTGACAGAGTGAGACTCCAACTCAAAAAACAAAACAAAACAATTAGGCCAGACATGGTGGCTCACTCCTGTAATCCCAGCACTTTGGGAGGCCGAGGTGAGAGGATTGCCCGTACTCATGGGTTCAAGACCAGCCTGGGCAACTTGGCGAGACCTCATCT